CATCTCAATGTTTTAAAGGAATTTACATTCTGAAATCTATGGAAAGAGTTTCTGCTCTACCCCAGATTATACAAAACTGAAAACCTCCTGCTCTTCAGTAAGCCAAACCCCACCAGAATAGAGTCAGGAATCCTAAAATTTTCACCATCAGTATTTTTAAGTTAGTTGATCATTTCTCACTGTTTGTGAACTCGACTACTTGTTTTATCATTTCTCTTATTCCTTGTGTATGCTGTAAGCAATTTAGTTCAAGACCAATAAGAAATGATAAAACCAGAAGCTTGAAATGAGAAAAAGAATTTCAAAACGTAAAATTTAGTGTATTGAAAAGGGGCACTTGCTGAAATCTCTTGGCATGTATTGCAAGCCTGTGAGCTAGCGTTCAATTCAGGAGAGTAACAAGAATTAACTACGCTATTAAATCAAACACAAGCAAGCTACGGGCAATACAAAAGCAACGGAAACTCATACAATTAATACTAAGGCAAAGGATTCTAGGATTCCATGAAAATCAGTAACCTCGGATTTATCTTTAGAAGCTTAATGTGGCCCGTGGGTTGGTGCGTGCATGTGCGCGAGTGTGCACATACCATCTACGAAGCCAGAAGAAGTCAGCTTTTTACGATGAGTACGAGCATAATCCTGTAGGTTAGGTGCACTCGAAGAACCCCCGAGCACTGAGGTGCTAAACAGGCCCGCACACTGAGACCCTGATGGGAGTTAGAGAAAATACATACAACAACCAGGTGTTCGTCCATTCACATTGGGGATGCATGCAGCATGCAAGCACGGGGCTCTTACCACACAAAAGGCAGCTTTTGGCAGTGCCTGGGACACGTTCACAATATGCTTGTAATGTCAAAGTGGCACTTGGAGGCTGAAACTGTCATAATTTATTGTGCTGCTACTCCTGACCCAGCACCCTCTGCTACAGAGGGCAGACAGGATTGACTTTACCAAAGTGACTTCACGGTCTGTTTTCAGGTTTGGTAAAGAAAAGTTACCAGTTAGCGTCCAGGTAAGCAGAACCAAAGCAACAAAACAAAAGCAAGATGATGATGTAAACGCTGCGGGGTTTAAAGCTGGCGGTCCTGAAACAAATAAAAACTGGGTAATACTGCTCATTGCTTTCATCCAAATCAACCTTGGAGATGAGAGGCTGCAATGACGTACTCATGCATTTCCACAGATTAACATGGAAACATTTCCCTTTTAACCTCTATGGAATGGTAACCAAAGCAGAAATACTCTACAGTATTTCAAGTGCCTTTGTTGCCAAGGGTAGAAACTGAAAACATCTACAGGTTTTCATCAAGGTTAGCTCAAGCTTCTTCCTAGGAAAGACTTCTGTTTATTTCCATGCAATCGAAATGCTTTTGCTACCACTTGTATAGTCCTGCCACTAGGAATTTTAAGGTATCTCTGAAAGCCATACACAGAAATAAAAATTTTTATAATCCACCATATATAAGACTTACAAATGCCAGTGAATAAAACGGAAAAAAATGCTGTAATTTTTTTCCTTTCATCTTCACTATGACTCGAAGGGAAAAATGGTTCACTAGACCAACTATTTGGAGATATTTCCTTTCATTGCTTTGGATGACCCAAATGAGAGGAAACATTACTAGCACATGTGACCAATCACAGCCAAAAGAAACAGGTGCCTGGTCTGTGGCAAAAGCACCAAAAGTAACATCTTGACCTACACACACAAATATTTCATCTTCCACAAGCCATATTGTGTCACACTGACGAAAAAAAAAAAGTTGTTTAACTTAGCAAGCACACATTAAAACAGGACTTCAGTAAACGAGAGCACCTGATGTATGCATTTTACTACAGAAAAAAATATAAGTAGGGAGAAAAGTATCACAGAAAGATTAGACAAAAATACACATTTTTACAAGGAAAGGAAAAGCTACCTCTAGCCTGATATATATATATAGCTTATGTATTTTCTATGCTGCATTTTTCCCATGAAAAGACATTTTACATTTGCAGGAAAAAAAAAAATGCAATATTGATTTACATTAGTGCAAAACGTCATGTTTTTGCATGTTGGTCAAATGAATGCCTGTTTCAGAGAAACAACAGGAAAACATCACTTGTATTACAAGAATTTGAAACAACACATTGAATTATAGCAAAATTAATTCTAACACTTAAAGACAGAAATTCATTTTTGAAAGGGTCTGTGTGCAAAAGCCCTGATATACCCAAGAAACTTGAAATTTGTTTCTTTGTTACCACACCTTCAATTCCATCAATTGCCCGTGGTAGGAAACATTAACTGTCTTTAAGAAAAGTTTTAATGGTTTCCAATGTAGGCCTTTCAATCCCAGAGATTCTGCAAAAACCAACAGCTCAGTCATAAACTATGAAATCTTAAAAAGCTACATTACGCTAAAAATAATCCTGTGTACCTGTTCTGGGCAGTAAAGAGTCAGGAACGTTAACAGTCTCCAACAATTTGCTCTTTTCAACTATTATTTACGTAAAAACTTTTGCTGCAAAAAAATAAAATTGTCCCATTCAAAAGGTTGTACTGTTTCAGACAATCAGTAGATATTATTGATTACAAATACTACCTGGTCCTGGTCATGAAAAAGATTTAAATCAATTGATCAATAAATTAAATAAAAGGAAAAAATAATAGAGGAAGCACAACTGTGCAGAACACCGGGCAGAAGAAAAGCTAACACGAAACGAAATGTCAATTGTATGCACATACCTAGACCAGCCTGCTTTTGTTCCAGAATAGTTCTTGGTGTTCGTAAATTACTATTGCTCTCTGATAGGACCTGGATATGGAAAACAGAAAAATAAGGAAAAGTAGAACAGGAGCATGAAATGGCTATTTAATTTGATACAGCAGCCTGTTTCAGACAGACAAGTGTTAATAAGCTGTATGATAAGTGTTAGTAAAAATATGTAAAGGAAATATGAAAGATCATGCAATATCCCCTTCTGAAGGGAGTCCGTTTTGACATATGAGTTCCTTGCAATGAAGTGGTGCAAAGCAAGCATTCAGAATGGAAAAGGACACAGACCAAGACATGTATGAGAACAGACATTTGAGACAGATTTTATTTTATTTTACCAAATGCACTCTCCTAAACTGCGCCTGTATTGAAAAAAAGGAGGGGAGGGAAGGAAAGACAGACAAGCTATTGAGGACACCATACAATCACTGACCCATGCACGGCCTCAATCAGTGTC